ATGTAATGCCATCACATGTACACCGCGTCATCCCCTCACGCTGAATCCACCCGATAAGCGAGTCATCATCGAGTAATTAGCTCACCGCCCCCATTTGCGATATGTGGTATGTATGGGTGGTTACTCAAACCCGCTACCCTAATGAATGGTCCTTAGCTACTCCATGAGCTACGTCACTTGAGATCCAACACTCACAGTGACCTTACCCCTCGCTTGAGTAGAGATTTCCAAAGTTGATCATCACACTATTATATCAAGTTGAGGGTAGGTCCTAAGTCATATTGACCTATTAAAGATCTAGTTAATTCCCTTGCAAAGTTTTAAGTAATTAAGTTAACCCAGTGTAGCTTCCTACATGCGCGAGAGTGAGTTTCCTTCTCAAACTCGACTTCTAACGAGACTAAGCAAATAAGCAATCAAGCGTTCCAAACTCTATTGATTAAAAGAAAGGCTCTACTAAATAATTAGTGAGTATTTCTAAATTAATGAAGCAAGATTAGTTTACTTAATTAAATCTAAATGAGAATGCAAACTCAAAATGAAACAAGTAATGAGTATCCAAAATAGGCTTGGTGGGTTGCCTGCCTGGTTTTGTCGTCCCGTTGACGATAACAATCTATACACGTTCCTCACTTGCTATGCATTCCTGCAAGAGAGAAAGAATCTACTGAAGAAGGACATTGATGATTAAGCTGATAAAAGATTTGAGATCAAGGGCTAGGCTAAGATTTGGAACTTGGGAAGAGATATCTAACAAGACACTACTATAGCACTATTTGATTCTAAAGAGGTTAAAGGGTTGGGTATGGTTGACCTCTTGAGTAAGGATTGGACTTATTCAACACTCACTGGTAACTGGCGGACTCTTCGCTAGGTTTGGCGGATGCTCCGTGGATCTGTAGAATGTTCCTAGGAACATTCCGGTAGGATCGGTCTTAAGCTTTTCGAGGTTCGGGGTGTCTTAGCGGACGGTCCGCGAGAAACTAGCTCCTCTCGGGTTCTCTGTGTTTGGGTTTATATAGACTGGTAGATACTCCGTATGTTTTGGTGGATGTTCTGGTGTGAACTATGTGATCTTGGGTGGGCTGGTTTTAGCAGCTTTATTGACTGATGAATGATCTGTGGGTACTGACGAATACTCCGACAGCAACTGGCTCCTCTCGGGTTGCTTGGAAATCAAGCTTTATAATTTGGCGGATGCTCCGCTGGAATGGCAGACATTCCCCCATCTCACTCAGAAAAGTCATTTGAGTGTGGTTGCGGAAGTTTTGGCTACGTCTTGGACTGTCGGAGTCTCTATCATGAATGGCGGACTCTCCATCAGTCCGGCGACAGAAACTAGGTGCAAGGTTCTTGTGTGGTTTCTTGGGGATTCAACCTTAGATGTAGCAAGATATGGTGTATGCATGTGAAGGGGATTTGTAGGGTAGTTTAGGTAGCTTGCTAGGCTCAAGATAGCTAGGGTTTGGGCTAAGGTTACTAAGTGCAACATGTGATTTGGAATTAAACTAGGATATGAATGAAAAGAGAACTCGATCTTAAGATTGAGCATGGCAACTTAGCTTGAGATTTTGGTGGTTTTCTTGCCACCAAGATTTAGGAGGTAGCTTCTTGAATCCATACTTCCAAACCAAAAGAGATAGATTGGCTTCTCATCAGCTCCTCATGAAAAATCCATGAAAATGCATAAGGGAAGACAATTCCCAAAGAAACATGGGGTGATTGCGCTAGGGAAAGATCTCTTGAACTTACTCTACATATGTTGGAACCACCACCAGCAAGAAATCCTCAATTCTTGCAACAAAAACCAAAGTTAGGCTCTTGGGTTAAATCCAAAGAATGAGAGAGGTTTCTCTTGAGCTAACCATTGAGCAAGATGAAGAGGTTGAGGTGATACATGGAATGATGTTGTTGCTCCTCCTCTTCTTCTTCTATTCCTTCTCCAAACTCTCTTCCTCTCCATTCTCTCTCTAGTTCTAGGGTTCTTCCTTGTTCTTGAGTGTAGAGAGAGAGGGTGAGTTGCAAATGAGTGGATGAGTGAGAGAGAGGGTGATGTGGAGTGTTTTTAGCTAAGGAAGTCACCACTCTCATGCTGACATGTGGGTCCAAGGGGTACAAGTGAAGGATAGCTCATCCTACACTCACTTTTTCTGTTCGAAGTACTGGCGGATGGTCCGCAAGGTTTGGCAGACACTCCGTTAGCTTCTCTGTCTTGGTGAATTTGATTCAGGGATCGACACCTTGTGGTTGAATCTAGGTCTCAGTATCCAATTCGAATATATGATGTCCTCAGGGGGTAGTAATCCATTTGAGTCTTCCATATCAATCTTTTCAGTATAACCAAACATACTTGTCTTAATGTTGATTCGGGACTAACTTCGGTAGTCTCGACTTTATCTCAAAGGTGTTGTTGGCAACACTTGGTTTGATGAAATGAGGGCTCTTGATTTGATACAAGGCTCCAGTGATCTCCACAGTAGTAACTCCAGGCTTGAGTTAGTTGTCGCTCTAGAGGTTGTCCACTTGGAACGATAGCGGGTCGTTACAAATATTTTTCTCCTTTTAGTTGGTCAAATAAATCATCTATCCTTGGTAGTGGGTACTTATTCTTGATGGTGACCTCGTTTAGTGATCGGTAATCAATGCACATTGATAGACTTCCATCCTTCTTTGCAAATAGAACTAGTGATCCCCAAGGTGATGAACTTGGTCTAATATATCCTTTTTCTTGTAATTCTCGTAGTTGTTTCTTCAACTCTTCCAACTCATTGGCTGCCATTCGGTGTGGTCGCTTTGCTATTGGAGCTATTCCAGGTATCAAATCAATGATGAATTCCAAATCTCCATCTGGCGGCATTCTAGGTAATTCCTCATGGAACACATCGGGGTACTCACATACTACTGGCATTTCTTTGACCGTCTTAGCTTCTATGCTGCAAACCATTGGCTAAGCTTTTGGAGCTCAAGGGTGACATTCTACTTTTATTCCATTGTGATTATCAAGGTTACTGCCTTATCTCTACAGGATATGTTTCCATGGTGTTTCCTTAACCAATCCATTCCCAATATTATGTCCAATCCTTCTGTCTTTAATACTACTAGGTCTGCTTGAAACTCAACTCCATCTATCATTATCTTTACTCGAGGACATTTTAGTGAGCAGTAACAAAAGTGGGGTGGGCAGTAACACCATTCTCAAATCATTTTAAGCACAAAACAAGCAGAAATAGACGAATGCGAGGCTCTGGAATCAAACAACATGCTTGCAGAAGCGGAGTTCATAAGGAACTCACCGTACACAACATCGGGTGCTTCCTGTACTTCTTCCACATTAACGTGGTTGACTCGGCCTTGCCCAAAAGTTTGGGTGTTCCTTCTATGCTTTCTAGAGTTCTGAGGTCCAGTGTGTCCAATTCCTAAGGCTGCTGTCGTATTGCTAGCCGTGGATTGTGCGGGGGCAGAGGCTACTGACTTATTAGCATATGGGCATTGGGTTATTCTGTGTCTAGGTTGTCGATATCCGAAACATGTCTGGTCTATGGCTGCATTGTTGTTACTCTTGGGCTAGGTATTGTTGTTGTAGTTCTTGTAAGACGTGGTTTGCTGAGAGTTGGATCCAGATGCTCTATACTGCATGGTAGACTGGTACTTCACAGGTGCGGTGTTGTTGGTTTTGACCCGTTGCATCCTTTCTTATTGGCAGGCACATTGTAAGTTGAACTTACACTTCCTTTCTCCTTCCATCTTGGAGCGCTCTTCTTCTAGTAGGATGGTGCGGTTCATCAGGGTATTGAAATCTGGATAGATGTGCGTGATTATTTGCGTCCTCAGCGCTAAGTTAAGTCCTCTTCTGAAGCATCTCTGTTTCTTTTTGTTAGTATTAACATCCTCTGGTGCATAGCGGGATAGTTTCATAAATTTCCGGATGTACTAATTCACTGTCATTGCTCCTTGTCTTAAGTAGCGAAATTCTTCTGCTTTCATTTCCATTATTCCATTAGGGATGTGATAGTTACAAAATTCTTCTATGAATTCTTCCTATGTGATGGCTTCGCGGTCATCAACTGCATCTTTGTAATTTTCCCACCATTCTCCTATGGCTCCAACAAGCTGATGGGTGGCTAAGGTGACTTTTTCCTCATTGGTTGCTCATACAACATTTAATTTCTTGGTGATGGTACGCAACCAGTCATCTGCTACTAAGGGGTCATCCTCAGAATTATCGAAGGTGGGTGGATGAAGCCTCATAAATGCGACCATTTTTCCTTGTCCATTTCCATTGTCAGGCCTTCTAACGATGATTTCCATAAGACGTGTTTGGCGATCCATAATTTCTGCCAAGGTAGGTGGGGGTGGTGGAAGTTCTTCGGCTGGTTTTGGAATGTTTTCATTATTATTTTTGGTTAACTTCTTCTTCCATTGCTTTATTTGCCCCTTCTTGTGCTGGGATGTTGTCATGTGGTTGTTCTTGCCCATGATTTTGATTTTGCTGCCCGCGATTTCCACAATTTTGCTTGCCTCTAGGTGGTGGTGCGACATGTTCCTCTTCATGAACCTGCCTTTCAGCAGCCCTTTCTCGACGTTGCTGAATCCGGATGGATCTCCTTTCTATCTGTTGCTTTAGCACAACAAGGATAAGAAGATGTCGTGTGCGGCATTTGAGCAGAGGGAGGGTACTTGGAAAAACAAACAAGCAAGCATGCAAGGGCACACAATCATATTCAAACACACATTATATTACATCACACGAATAGTCACACATATATGATACAAGGTTGCATCATACACATCAATTTCTAGAATGATTACTACGTGACAACTTGAATGTTCAGGACTAGCGATGTTACAAGTGACACTACTACTAAGGACACACTCATTCTATGTCTAGACTCTTTTCTCATTTATTTTACAGCTAGACGCTATGACTCGGCTTATTTATTTTACATGAACTACATCTTGTGAAGGTCCTGGTTCACAGCTTTGCCCTTTTCTTTGGCTAGCTATTCGTCTCGTAGCGCGTAAAGCCCACGTGCATATCCATCAGCACCCTGCCCGGAAGGAACTCGTGATGGTCCAACGATATTTGCATTCCCAGCAGTCTTCCTGTTGTTAAAGTTGTCTGCGACTGATTCTTCGGTATCATTGCTTTCGGCATGATCAGAAAGTGACTCCCTTGTTATGTATCCATTCAAGTTGTTATGAGGGTGGTGTGGGTCATATCCTGTAGTGGCTGGTGCCTTACCCCGTGGATCTACTCTAGGAATTTCTACTCCTTGTCCAGGGGCCATGGCAAAGGTCCTTTTTCCTTTCTTTATCCTCCTTGAACGTGGCTACTCAAGGGCCTTCTACAACTCTTGGCTGTAATACTCCTTATCCTTCAGGGTTGTCATTTGTGAGCTCATTATGAGTAGTTCCATCCTTATACTTCATACTTTAGCTTCGGCTTCCTTGGCTTTGGTAGTCCACTTCTTTAATTCCCGTTGCTGGTCTACATAGAGGGCATCGAGAGCATGCATGTATCTGATTGTGGATACTATAGTATACTCAGGTGTCTGCTCTCCAACTTCTTCTAAATCCTTAACTTTCTCACACCAAGTTGGAGTAGTCTAATCTGGTATAGCGAAAAATCTTGCAGGGGTGTGCTCAATATCTTCTTCATAAACCTGACAATAATCTGTAAGAGCCTGGCGTGCTGCAATCTGGCATGTGTCACTTAGTTCTCTTCTGAATGCTGGGATGAACCAATTCCTGAATCCTAGGCATAGTGGATGCTCTGTAACATGCGGGTGTACTTCACACTTGGGCATACTGTCCTCTTGGTAATCATGTCCATAGTACATGGGAGGTTCAGTACAACCAAGGCGCTGGAGTGTCTCCTAGAGGAGCTGTGGGAATCCTCTGATGGTTAGACAGTCCGATCAAACCCAGTTGTCTTCCATTACTGCAAAATTTCAACACTAGTTAGAAAATTTTGCAATATGGATCAACAACTATAAGAGTTTGTTGCTTGTTTTTGTTACTTTTTTGTTGTTATACGCAATCCGATCCTAGGGTTTCGTCCTACAGTCAAGCTTGGCTCTGATACCACTCTGTCGGCCCCTCATTTTGAGAGTCCTTTGGTGCATCTGTACTTGCACCAGGATCACACACAAGTACGCACAAACAACAGAAATGGCACACAGATATATAGGAAAATACCGAGCTTTTATTGATATCTAGAAATAAGGTCTTACAACAGTGGCCCAAAGGGCATAGCCATAGGCTTTACATCACTAACGGGGTTTCATTGCCGTGAATTGACATTTTTTATAGCGGGGTGGTACTACTATGGCGATATTTTATTGCATAGTGACACCCTAATCCACAGGCATGCTTGAGCGTGGTCGAATCCCTAGGTACTAAGACTCCTTCCTAATCATATTCCTTGCGTGATTCCTAGTCCTCATGGTATGGCTCTTTGTCGATGTTGTAATCTTCCTCAGCACTGAAATCTGTGAGTCAATAATGAGTGAGTACAAACATACTCAGCAAGCCCTAACCATAGGGTTTGGTGTAGTGTATGGTGGCGGCTTTGTGGTGTGGTGGATGGCAGGTGATGGTGGAGGCGGAAGTAGTGAGGTGGTATGGTTCAATTGAATATAAGGTTGGGCCCTGGGAGAGTATTACCATTCTCGCCAGTTCCCGTGTTAGTAATAAGATTAATTAATCACATTAGCATAGTTTCATTACACATAAAAGTAACTCTAATCATAGGTGATCGCATCCCAGCGGTTGCCCATTCGAAGGACGTGGCTATTCGAATAGAGTCAATACGCTCTACAGAGGGTGTACACTTTTCCCCACATGATAGGCGCAATCCCATCCATGATTAGTGGATGGAATAGTCCTAATGAGACCCCATACCCAAAAGTACATGACCTTAGATGTCCATATAACTCTACCACAGCTTCTCAAGGGTTGGAAAAACACACAAAGCTTGGATGATCACACAACATCCAATTCAATAATCCGGATGATACCACATCATCTAGTTAGTAATAAGTAAGGGCTCGAACACGGCCAAATCAAGGGGTTTTACATGGAAGATCACTTAGCATCCATGCCAACCGGACCACGGAAGATCACTTAGCATCCATGTCTTCTCCTGATATTCCACTGCCAACACCGGCCTCCTAGTAGAAATTATATGTCTATCTAACGGGGTGTGAGATCAAGTCTACCCATATAGACATGTGGTTGTACGAATATCTGGCTAGACAAGATGGCCTATGACCTTGTCCTTATGTGACCGAGGCGAGTATCTCCCAACAGGAACCCTCACTAGGCGATCATGCCAAGGTAACTTGTACCACATAAGTTACCCCTCACTCGCCTCCTGTTGATAAGTTCAGGTTTACCATGTCCATGTTATCACAATTATTATCCTTAGGTTCATTCATATCGTAGAGCTCATGAGGTACCAAAATAAGCTTTATCGTGTCATCAAGGTTTACTTCATAATAATCGAGCTCATAATTCATATATTCACAAGGATAAGTAATATTAGTTGAGTTTATTAATTAATTGGTGGAGATGGAGAGCGGAGGGTTTATGGTGGTGGTGGCAAGATGTAGTGGTGGTGGTAGGGGTAGCTACGACTTGCCTTCGATGTTGTCTCCTTTCGGATCTTCTACGTAGTCCGGATCCTCGTTCTCTTGGTTTTCACCATCTTCTATCGGTCGGCATTTAATAAATAACTACCGCTAAACATAAACACAAAACAAGCAACACAAGACAAGCATAGAACAATATGGTGGTACTAGGTGGAATAAATAGAGTTTGATTTTAGAAGAATTTTGGGAGTGGTTTCACGAAAAACAGAGTTAAGATGAAAAAGATATGGATTTTAGAAGTTTAATATATAGTTTGAGAATTAACTGGAATTTTTGGTGATATTTTGTTGTATGGAAAATAGGTGAAAATATTATGGTTAGGTTGTTGGGGTGCATCTAGTTTATTTACAAATTTTCTGGGAATTTTTTTAAGCCAGGAAAATGTATTTGTAACTTGCTGTGTACACTATCCGGGTGCACCTAGCAATTTCCCAAGTGCTATGCTGTGTGTGTGCAGTGTCTGTGTGACATGTGGGCCAGTGGGGTCAGCGGCGGGGCATCGTTGACACGTGGGCCAGCTTGGCCGTCAGCAGGCAATGGCGTTGCGGCTTTGGGCCCACCTGTCCGATAAAGTGAGAGTGGGAGAGGGCGACGGACGGGACAAAATGGTGACGGGGATGGCATCACCGTTCGGTCCCACGCGACAGTGAGAGAAGGTGGGGGAGAGGGAAACGATGATCGGACGGCGGTGCCGACATGGCGACGGAAACAGGGGAAGGGGCTCGGGCTCGCCGGAGTTCGATGCGCCAGTGATGTCGAGCCTCGATGCTGGTTGTGGGGTGGTGGACGAGGCTCGGGAGGTCATGCCAGCGACGGTGTACGCCCGTGGTGGCAGTGGCGGTTTCGCTGGAGTGAAAGCGGCTGCGCCGTGTAGTGTGTGAGGGCATAGGGGCCCTATCCTAACTAGTTTTCTACGTGTATGTGAGTGCGTGGGTGTAGTGAGGGTGCTAGAGGGGTCATGGAGCCTAACCGAGCCTTGCCATCGGTCAGCCGGAGATCATGGTGGCTCGACGGTGACTGCTTCCCGGTGATAGGGCAACACAGAGCGAGATGGCAGGTTAGAGATAGAGAAGAAGGTGGAGGAGGGGCTCTAGGGCTCACCTGCCACTCCAATCGACTAATGTCGCAGCGAGGAAGACAAAGGAGGGAGGCGGCTCCAATGGCATCGGCACCTCCTGATTTGGGGCAAATGGCCCTAGTGTTCTACAGAGAGAGGGAGAGGAGGAATAGAGGGGGAGATGGAGTGTTCCAGCTCATGGCGGAGCTGGTAGTGGTGGTGGTGCGGCCGAAGTGCCATTGGCTAGGCCTATTTATAGGCCGGCCATGGCGGTGCTAGCGTCGAGATATTTCTCGGTGCCGGTGTCGAGATATTTCTTGGTGTCACGAATATTTCTGCCACCGCGCGCTCATTTGAATCGCCCTGGTGGTTAGCCACAGTGTGTTCCTATCCGCGCGCGTGTCAGAGCTTGGCCTCATTCATGGTGACAACGGTCAATGGGGGAGGTGCCGCCGCGTGGCTATGGAGGGTAGAGGGTAGAAGAGAGGGAGAGAGGGGAAGTAGTGGGGCCAGGAAGCTTCGGGAGTTCGCTCGCGTCCTTATCCATTTGCCGTCGGGGCGGAATGGGCGGCGGCGCGGTCGAGGCGACTGGCCGTGATGCGGTATTCTTGTCGCTGCGCGAGGTAGATGATGGTGATGACAAGGTGGCCCCATGCGTCAGTGAGTGAGAGGAGAGGAGAGGGAGCGGGGCACGTGTGGCTAGGCCATGGCTGTTGCTGGCCCAATGCGGAAGAGAAGGGGAGGAGCAGGCGCGCGCGTACAACTGGGCTAGGCTAGGCTGGTGCCGGCCCAATGTGGGGAGGGAGGCGGGTGCACCACGGCCCGAAGGGAGAGGAGGACGAAGTTTGAGCCCATGAAGCCTTTTCCAATTTCTAATTCCCTTTTCTTTTTGCAGATTCATTTATAGTATGGTTTTGAATTGTGTTTGAATTCAAATTTGAGTTGGTTTTCAAATAGGGGTTTACCACCATATGTTCAACAAGGTAACCAAGCAACCGAGCATTGTCACACAAGAAATTTTTATTCTAGGTTAATTTGTTTAGGTTTTAAATAAATGATTCCTAGGTTAATTTAATTCCTATTTGTGTTATGATTATTTGTTCTTATGGAAAATTTTAAAAGGTTCAAATTTTTAGTGATTTTTAAATGTGGTCAAAATTTAGGGTGTTACAACGCACAAGCTTCATCCGAGGGTGGATATGAGCTTGGGGATGCTTGGCATGGATTGTGGTGACATAGAGTGGCTGGTGGGCCCATAGGTAGGGTCAGCCGACCCCCCTATGTGGGTCCACCAGCTCACTTTTCTTGAATTTGCTCATATTTGCATAGAAATACTCAAGTACAAGTTGAACCTATTATTTATTAAAATATGCTCATGATATGCTTATCTCCCTTTGATCCGAGGCTGTTGACAGTGATTTTGAGTATATAAAAGTGTGACATTTTCACCATCAACAAGATCCCCCAAGCTTAACCTTTGCTCGTCCCCGAGCAAACAATTAAAACTTAGCCTTGATGGATTAGGAGTTGCTACTATGCTTCATATTTCAATAGTACCATGTGTACAACAATATATTTC